AATTAAGCAGGGGAGTGATTAATATTAATGTTAATTATATTAATAATTAATAATTAATATATAAAATTAATTAAATAATTAATTATTAATATAATTAACAATTAATTAATTATTTATATATATATTAAATAAATAATTAACACTTAATTATTTATTTCCAAAATATAATCATATTCTAAAGCAATTCTCTACTATAACCTATCGTTGTAATGGACATCTTATGCACATTATTTTTAAATTATAGTTTTAATATCAATCATATTCATGTTGATTTTTATTTGAATCTCATTCAAATAATTTCTCTCATAATATATAGTTTCAATTTATAATTAACCATATATTATAATGTATCAATATACGTATATTTCCTTCAGAAATTTGAACATCTCTCATTTTTCCAAGAAATTTAATCCTCGTTTTACCCGTTGTGAGTTAGCAAGGGGACTTAATGGACCTACATATCAGAAGCTCCAACGATACGAGATTAATCTGTCAAACTCATTGACCGAGTTAATCAACATTCGTTAATTACGGGTCACTCCACTAAAAACCCGTAGTTGCACTTTTCTCACTGCAGAATATTTTCGTGTTCATGGATATACAACCATTAATGGCAAGTCAATCCTTCACGAGTGCTCGTAACTCAAGCTAGGTCAAATTACCACTTTATCATTGAGTTACATCTTACTCCTTAAATACCACTACTCCTCTAATGAACAACCCGGTTATGGTTCGACCAATAACCGGAAGTCTCTCTCGGACCAGTGAGAGGGTGGGGCCCCTTGTTCAAGTCCCGGAATCAGCATTTAAGAGAACACTCATATACTCCCCGAAAGTCGAAAGGGAGTGAACTCCATCTTGTAAGTTACGATTCCAGCTCCCCACTTGGTCTCGTCCTCAAATTGGTAGGAATCTTGAGTCGGCGACTCGGGCCACTCTCACCTATACAGATCAAAGGACGAGCCCTCACGAGCAGAAGTCCATAACTCACTCAAGACTGAGAATGAGTTGCCTAGTCATCCTATGAAATAGTAATCTGTTAGTCAACAACGCATCTAAAGATTGGCTATTTTGCGGTCCGGTCTTATACAAACTCATTGTATAGGATACCTCCAATCGCATGTCTTCACACGAACGACTTGGATCGGGTCATCTGTAACATTTACAAAGTGGGTCATATCCATAGTGTTGCCAAGATAAAGTACCTAACCCTATCCATATACTATAGACCCTTTAGGTTATTCCCAGGACATTATCCACTTGTATATCGAGGATATATCAAATATATACCAAGTATATATATTTTCCCGATTACATGATAATAACCTTGAATATTTAGTTTATTGGATTTGGACAATGCAATACTATGAATTTGACAACAAATTGATTGAATATAAGTTTATTGAATATAAATTTGTTTTTACATAATTACAAACTACGAGTTTAGGGCAACACACCCAACAAAAATCAAACCATTTATCTCACATAGGATGATTATCCATTGGGAAGTTAGTTTATAAGCCAAAGTGTAAGAATGGGGTTATAAACCTGGTTTTGGGGGAGCCCAAAGCATGCCCCACATGAGCGCTTTCTTACAGTTTTGAACCTGTCAATAATATATGGCACACTCGAAGGGAATTAAGGATCAATTTAGCGTACGTGGTTTGAAGCACATTCTTTAATTCTAGTCAAAGACGCGGGTATAACCCCACCACCTCATTTCATCTCAACTTTCACTTCCCGACTCCGTTCTGACTTTGATTTCAAGACAGTGGTTCCATCCACGACACAACTAAATTTCTTTCAAACGTTTTAGTTTTGGCCATACGCGATCCTTACCAATTCTCAGCGAATTATATCATATGAACCTACTCTTCAAAAGAAATTGTATTATTTGCCTACCTATATTCATAGCATGATGAATAGGAAGATACACAAAACTCACCCTTATTTCTCTCTTTTTTCCCTTAATACAATAAATATGGGGTTTGGGATTCGAACTCACAACCTTTGAGTCGGAAATAGGTACCTTAACTAGTTGAGCTAAGCTCAAGTTGCCAACTCACCCTTATTTCTCATTTGCCCCACATCATTGTTATTTGTTATACACCAAACTTGTATATGAGAGAATGTATGGCAAATGAAACACACTTTTGTACAATATGAGAAGTCCCTAAGACACGTTATACCTTCACTAGTTGACACCACGGTTTTAAATGTTGTTGTTGACGAAAATGTCTAGATATCAATTTTATGGAAATGCTGATAGAAATATCGATAAAATTTCGATATCGATGAATATTCTTGAAATGTTATAAAAATTAAAATTAAAGTTCATAAAAAATATTTAAATTAAAAAATAAGCATTTCACCATTTCTAAATAAATTAGAAAGGATTAATATTAAAATTATGTCTATATTAGTGATATTTTTTTTTCGAATTTTTTGCAATTCAATGGAAATGCCGATTTACACCTCATGTTGATGACATACCCATGAATACATGAAAATATCGATAGAAATATCGACACATAGACGGATATTTAATATCCTGGTAGGCACACTAGCATGTAAATAAATATATTGTTCTATAAAATATACAAATAGTAGAGTGTTGCAACATGTGTACACATTTTCATATATATAGACTAAATATGAGTTCTGGTCTTTGATATTTGAAGATTTTTTCAGTTTGGTCTTGATCTATTAAAAGTTTTAATTTAATCCTTAATGTGTTAAAAAAAATTCGATTAAGTTCTTCTGGTAATGAAACGTTGAAATTAATTGACAAAGTAATGATGTAATGTCAAAGTAGACTTTTTTGATTTAGTGTAAATTTTGTGATGATGTAATTATTAGCTTTTCTATTAGTTTAACAATAACCAAAATAATTATTATTTTCCTATTAGTTTAGGTACTAAAAGTTGTTTTTAATTCAATAATTATACGACTCTACAAGAGATTAAACTGACAACTCACTCAATTTGACAGAAATTAATATGGTTATCTTGAAAGTTCTAGAACCAAAATGAAATAAATTTAAAAGTTTTAATGAATTAAAATAAATATTTTGAAAGTCGGTGAAAATGAAAACAGTTTTAAGAGTTTAAAGAAAATTTTAACTTAAATAATTGATTGGTTAGTTAGAACAAATGGTAAATTATATAAAATTTTGAACCTATCCAAATTGGACTTTTATGTTTAGCATGGTATTATAGACCATTGTGAGAGAAAAGCCAAGAGGTGGTTTGATTTTCAATATTTTGCCCAATTTCTATTGGCCAATCTCCAAAAGGTGGCCTATTCATTTTGTCAATTTGTAAATTTTTTATTTTTTTAAATTATTATATGGTATATTTGTGGACCAATCAGACTATAATATAATATTTAATTATTAAATTATTAAATGAGAAAAATGTATTTTATTTGAAAGTTCTTCGTTTTTCTAGAATTATTTTAACATTTATATTAATATAATTCTCCATTGTCTTTCTTTCATCTCACAATGGTCATATAGTTCTTTTTTTTTTTCTTCTATGGTCATTAAAAATTTCTTTGCCATTTTCTAATGGAGCAGATGCAGTCTTCTATTCTTAATTTGAGAAGATTGTAGTTTTAAATAAGGAAAATGGAGTTTTTTTTTAGATTTAAATTTGTTTGAAAGTTTTCTAATGAATTGGGATGACATCCATTGATCTGAACATATAACTAATCGGCTAAGACATCATAAATCACTTTTTTAAAGTAGTTGATTTAACCACATGAGACAATAAAAATGATTGCGATATTTAGTGTTAATTTAAGTATAAATCAATTGGTTGAGACAATAATAAATTTCTTTAAAATTTTTTATTTTTTGAAACAACTATCTACTCAGTTATGGAAAGAATTAATATTAGTTAAATTTACATAATTACTCATTGGGGATCTTTTTATTTTCAATTTTTTATTTACACTCATTTTATTATCATTCTTTATGAAAGCTTATCAAATATTCCTACTAGTGGTAAAGAATTATAATCCCTTGGGATGACATAGTGGTAAGGATCTTGAGTGTTGTGGTATTACTTACCCTGATATTTTGGATTATATTATTGACTACAATTTATTCTATATCTACATGTAGTATATAAATGTAATTGTATATAGTAATTAATCCATGGATCAATGTATTAATTTATTTTTAAAATAAAAAATGAGAAGTTAAGAAAATTAATGAAGAAAACTAAATATAGAATAAAAGTGAATAACAAACTTGTGAAAAGAAGATGCCTTGACATAAAAATCTTAAAAGCTGGTTGAAATTACTTAGCCATATGTCATATTTTAAGATCCCTGAACATCTAAAAGTGTCCAGTCCAGGTGTCCAATATTATCAAATAAACACAAGAATCTAAGAGTCCATCTCGTAACTTTTTGTCTATATTCCTTCAAATATGATTGCATGGACCCAACACACGTAGATGCAAGAATGATAAAAGCAAAAATTTGTATTTACGTCGGAACAAGTCGGAAACATTTGATTGTTTTTGTTGTTTATGAAATTTCTATACAATTTTAAGAATGTTTCTAAAAAAAATGAGAAACCAGAAATCTAAATATCAAAAAAACCCTCTCCATGAAAATCTTTGATTCCCCGCAACAAAATGACAGCTGAATAATGGTTTATGTTGACAATTCTACCCCCAATAAACTTTCAAAGAACAAAATGAAAACAAGATACATACACAAGTTCCTACAAGTGTAGCTTTGAATTTATAACATTCTATTTATCACATGTAACAAAAAGTAAAATGTTGATATAAAACAATGTTCGAAACTTTTCCAAGAATAGATAAAACCAGGTTAAGAGTTATGGAGAATGGAGTAGGTGATCATATCATATGTATGTTTGTTTCAGCCGCGCAATTGGCGATGAGAGGAATTGTGGACCGAGTGGAGTGGGGGCCTCCAAAATTGCGTCAGTGGAAAACCCAATTATCGCCGGAAGTGGAAGCTGCAATGTCAAGCAAAAGCAAACCCCCAAACCCCAAAAGCCAAATTCCAAATTCCAAATTCCAAAATCCAAATTCCACCCACCCCCACCCCCTCTCTTCTTCTTCTTCTTCCTCCCACCAAAACCTTCAAAAAGTTTTCAAAGTTCTTCATCATTGATCATTTCCCTTTCGTTTTACCCATACCCATCAATCGGACCCCATTCTTCCTTTCCCATGTAAGTCTCTCTCTCTCTCTCTGTCTTTCTGATTCCTTCGTTGGGTTTTGGAGAAATTTGTAGGAATTGAAATGGGTTCTGTTTGTTTTCTTGAGATTGTTGAGTTTTGATTGGTTTCTCCCTTTGCCATGGCTTCTTGTCTTGTTGGTTAGAGTGGAGGAGGTATTTAAAGGGAATTGCTGAGGGAATTTTCTGATGGATTCTTTCAATCATAATTCTGGGTTTCGATTCAACATGGGTGATTGTGATTCTGACTCTTCTGGGGTTCTTGAAATTTTTGTTCACCATGCTAGGAACATTCACAATATTTGCATATATGAAAACCAGGATGTTTATGCAAAGTTTTCCCTCACTTATAATCCAGACCAGATTTTGTCTACTAGAGTCATTCATGGAGGTGGTAAGAATCCTGATTTCAATGAGAATTTGAGGATGAAAATTACTCAGCCTGATTCTGTGCTCAAATGTGAGATTTGGATGCTTAGTAGGGCTAGAAACTATTTGGAAGATCAGCTTTTGGGGTTTGCTTTGGTCCCTCTTTCACAAGTTGTTGGTAAAGGGAAAGTGACTGAGAATTATAGCCTCTCATCCACGGATCTCTTCCATTCCCCAGCCGGGACAGTTCGGTTGAGTCTTTCTTTGGATGAATCGCTTCCTATTGATGCATTGAATTCGTTATCGGATCTGCCTGTAAGTTCGTCAATATCTTCAGAAGTTGTGTTGTTGGACAGGAAAATATCAGAAGTCATGTTGGATCCAGCTGAGTATTCAAGGATTGAGTTCCCTGATGTTAATGTGGTGATGGAGAATCAACAAATGGTTTCCGAGTACTTTGGTTTGGAAAGAAATGGTTCTTGTTCCCAGCCTGGGATCGCCACGTTTCTCCGTCTCGGTGCGTCTCCTCCCCAACCAGCTTATGACTTTGAAATGACTGCAAATTTATCTGAAGAACACCAAGTTGGATCGGCTTCCCCGAACGACAGCAGCATTCAAAACTCTAGCTTCTTAAGCTCCACAACGACAAGTTTGAGTGATGATAGAAACTCTGTTGATTCCATAGAAAAGAAAACCCGCTTCCGAGGTGAGTCGTCGAATTCCATCAATGCTTCAGTCACTACTAATGAAGCTGGAAATCAGTTCTCTAGTCCTTGTCCTGATACTCCAACTTCAAGGAAGAGCGGAGGGACAGCTGCGGAGGAAAAGGAATCAAAATTTTCGAACAAGGAAGATAAGACTACCTTAAGAAAGGAAGGAAATATCCCTTCTGTTAAATTTGGTCAGGTGTTATCAGCTCCTTTAGGGAACATTAATCTTGAAGCTGAGCAATCTGCAATGCAGCAGCAAATTGTGGACATGTACATGAAGAGTATGCAGCAGTTCACAGAGTCTTTGGCAAAGATGAAACTTCCAATGGATCTTGATAAACCCGAGCATGAACACCGAGGTATTGTGACTCAAAGCCACAACACAAAACCAGAAATCGACCAAAATAAAAGGGACGGATCCCGGGTTTTCTATGGTAGCAGGGCATTCTTCTGATCCTCATCATAGGTGGTGCAAATTTGACACTTCTGGCAGGGTATGGAACTTATAACTTATCAGGAGCTATTTAAATTCCCCTGGCTTCACACTCTAATGGTATTTATGACTAATCCTCAGTACCATTTTTCAATCTTTTTAGCATGCAACTCTTCTTATTAAAGAGAGTAGTAGTTACTAAATCATCTGTCATATAGTCATGATGCCAAAATGACATTCTTTTTCTTGTGATTAGAATTTCGTTTTCCTGCGAATGTATAGACCATTTCATGGTGATTGTATCCAAGCAAGCTGTACTAACACAGTGTTTGGTTATTTGCTACATAACAATACTCTCTCTACTCTATGATTTCTCTGTTGATTCAACAACTTTTCTTGCAAACCTGACTGTATATTGTTCATTTATAGGAGAGTTCACGCTTCTAATATTTGGTTTAACACAAAAATCATCCATAATTTCCTCAAGTTTATGTTGTTCCCTTGCGGCCCCGACGAGTTCAGCCATTCTAAGATCTAAAAGTTGCATTAGTTTCAGGGCATATGGCAAAGATTGGTAATTTATAGTTTTTACTATAAAGTAGAACATGTCGACCATTTGTGATATACTTTTTAGTTGATAGAATGAAAATGAGCTAAAGTATCTAATAGGTCTTTCTCTTTCAATTCTTAGCCATCGTTTTAAAAATCCAGGACCTGTTGGATACAAAGTCAACCGTTTAAGTACCTATCATACACTTTTTAAAATTTAGGGATTAACTTTTTACATATGTCAAAAGTTTTTCTCAACTCGGTCGAGTTGAGTTGTATTTAGAACCCAAAGGTATTTATTAACACATTAATTACATACATGATATCTTGACACAATCTATCTTGTGAGAAAAAGGGAAGACAAAAGAAGAGAGGTTAAGGGGAAAGTATGATTAAGGTTGTTGAAATTTATGCATTGGGAGTGGGGTTGTGGGGCAGAGAGGGGCCATGTTTTGTCAACACAAAGTGCTCTCATGTTTGAAACTGCAATGGAAAAGAGTTTTTATTGTTGGATTAGTCAAGGAATCCAAGGTAGTTTGGCTACTGTTTGGAATTTAGAAAAACCAATTTTTCACATTTGAAAATTTCTAGCATGCCTTCTCAAATGCCCTTTATGTAAAAGTAAACTTCAAAGTAAACTTTAGCATGTGTTGTTTTTTTGCCTCGTGTGTTATGTTTCTTTGGTTTGTAAGCTGCCTTAGACTCAAAGAATTTCAAATGAAGTACCACTGTTCTTTTTAGATTTGGAGTCGGGCTGTTTGGGCTAACCTCCAAGCGAATGTTCGACTCACGATTTTAATAACTTTATGTTTGTTGAGCATGAACCGGTGCGAAGTTTGGATTTATACGGTATGTGTTTGGATTGTACGAAAGGATTGATTGTCGATGATGGTAAGTGCGCTCAGTCCCTTGAATCAGTGTAAGTTTGGTTACTGCCTAGTTCTTCGTTGATCCAGTCTGCGTGACTCGGTTGGATCTTGGACGCGTATCGCCTTAGATTCATCTAATAACATGTATATATAACAAACAAAAGGTGTGAAAATTTTAATCTTTGCTTTTTCAGAGATAAAGTAACGGTGTGATTAATTGAGCAAAATTAATATCTAACGAATCCCAAAAACTTTAAAATTTTCCATTTTAATTCCTAAACTATGTGTAAAACAATTATTTTAATTGTTATTATTAATTTTTTTAATAAATTAGTTCACATAAACTTAACATAAACATATGTTTTTGTTCATTTGCTTAAATTTAAATGTCTAATAAACTCTCTAGAGATGTTTACGTGAACTAGTACTTTAAAAGCTACATGTAGTGGGTGTTTAGTTTCAATATATATATATATATATATATTTTAAATAATTATTATAAATGTAATAATAATTACTGAATTAATTTTTTACACCAAATCGATGCAAATTTATCAAGAAGAAATTTATTCCTCGTAGAATATAACACATTACAAATACAAATATGATAATTTGAACTTACGATGCTTCTAAGAAGTAGAATCAATACACTGGTACAATGGTGCTTAGAGATAATTTGGATCTTTAAGGTCAAATTCGAAATTATGGATTAAAATTTAACAATCTAACCTCATTAAAAATTTCTTTTTCAAATAGGTAATACTGTTAACTCTTTTAATTTGACATAATTGGAAAGTACAGTTAATTTTAATAATATTTTATGCACTATTAGTAATAACATTCTATAAGACACAGAGAATTTCAAGATTTAAATCTAGTGTAAATTGGTTAGTAAAATATATTTATGGTCATTTTTTAAAAGGGGGTTGAAAGACTTTTAATTTCATTGTAAAAAAGAAAGAAAATCAGAGTTAGAAAAATAAGAGAAGTATTTCCGGTGCTATTTTGGAAGGACTCAAATTGGCGAGTCGAATGGAACTTTGGAAGATTTCAGTCAAGTTAGACTCCCTTCAAGCCGTAAATCTCAATTAATTTTGTGAGAAGGGTACCAATAAAGTCCCATATTAATTAGGGGATTGAGAAGATTATGGGTATATATATGAGCGAAAACATCTCCACTCCTTACGAGACCTCCAAGTGTTGGAAAATTACTTACCAAAGATATTTTCCCCTTCCACATTTTTCAGTGAAAACTAAGTCAATCATACAATAAGAGAAATATAGGGAAAGCATAGTAAACGACACGAAAGATTTATACTGGTTCACCCTAACTACGGGCTATGTCCAATCTTCCACGGCAACAGTTTTACTATGATTTTGAGATAATACAATGGGCAAATACAATAATCTCTTAAATCTAGAGGTCTCGACAAAAGTCACCTAGCTTCTAGAAACTACAACAATAGAATCCTAAAAAATCGAAATGAAAAACATCACCAAATACCTATGAGAATAGGTTGCTGACGATACTCTACAACCCCGGGATCTCGCCTCTGAAACTCTGCCAAATACCACTACAGTTGTCCTCTGAAAATTCATGCACCTACACGTTCAACCACCAATTTGACGTGCAACAACACATAAACAAAACTTAAACAAAAGGACTTTATCTATAGGAGGTCAAATATCCTAATACTTATAGGAAAAACAATATTATAATTATTTCCTTCATAAGACATGAATTTCATGTTTTGGCTCCATTATCCCAACAATCTCCCACATTGAGACAAAACATTAATCTTGCCTCCCACTGCACCAACAATGTCCCCTCATCTTGGTAACCTCGCCAAGGCTCAGATCTAACTGTACCAACAATAACTTATCAACAACTGTCTGGCCCCAACCAAGCTCTCCCTATGATTGCTCCGAGACTGAGCAATCCTACGTGGTCTTGTCTCCTAGACGTCAGAGACACAGTCACGTGCTCCCACTCGATCTAAGTGGTCCCTGATGCCTCTTTCCTCAATCGAACCCACGACCTTTGAAGGAAGATTTCCCCTCTAATGACTTGGCACTCCAATCCAAGTTTGTTGCCACTCTAGAGACCTCACCCTCGACCTCAGCACCAACTGTAGTCTTTCTTCTCAATGCACTCGTTCACCTATGCGACTTCATCAATTCGTTAATCTGTCTGACAACTGAGGTATTATCTTGATAGTCTACTGAACACCTGATTGAGTTATTCCCCTTTCCTTTTCATCTACTTCCCAGCTATTTTACTTGAACTGATGACATATTTTTCTTATTTGTCATGATTGTCAATGCTGCTAGTTCTTTCAAGTCCCCCCTTAAACTGTTTGCAACCCTATGCATAACTTGTCTCTCTAATCTTCTGGCAACGCCAAACCTCAACACATACACTAAAGCTTCTTTGTGGCCAACAACCACTACCTCATATCCTCTCATGAGTTTCCACCTATTCTCTGCAAACTCACTTCTGTAGCCTTCATCATTCAGCTTTTCCACCGATATCAAATTCATCCTGAAACTGGGTATATATCTGACATCATGAAAAACTAACTCGATCTCGCTGTCAGTCCTCAGATGCACCTCCCCAATTCCTATGACCTTGGAGAGTCTCTCATTCCACGTCTTCACCATTCCATGATTGTCTGTAGTGAAAGATATGAACCAACTCTTGTCTGAATATACATGTACCAAAGCTGCACTGTCCACTACCCATTCTTATAACAAATCCACAAATGTTCCATCGTTCTCAACACATGCTAACAACATGTCATCTGACATCACGTTTGTTTAGGCTTCCTTTTCCTAATCCTCTTTAAGCTTCTTACAGTGTTTCTTGAAGTGGTCGTTCTCATGGCAGTAAAGACATTTAATCTCACTACTCCCACTCCTCTAGTTATGTCCCTACTATTTCTCATATCTCATATTCCATTTGCCTTTGTTCTACACTACCAACGCTGACTCCATAGAGTTCTCCCTACCAGAAATGGATGCAGAATTCTTCCCACTTCACTTCCTACGAATCTCTTCAGCAATTGCAGCATCACAAATATCTGAAAATTTCAGACTCTTATCCTACAACGAATTTGATACGGTCATCTTCATCATTTCCCAACTCTCAGACAAAGAAGACAACAACTTTATCGCCTTCACCTCATCTGAAAAAGTGACCTATATCGACTCCAACTGGTTCATCAGTTGAGTGGCCTCATTGATGTGGGAATTCATCAACGTGCCTTCCTCCATATGAATGTTAAAGTATCTCGTAATGAGATACACCTTGCTGTTGGTAGAGGGTTTTTCATATTTGTCCGGCAACGCCTTCATCAGTCTCATCGCTGTTTTCTAACTTGCTACAAGACTTGTCACATTCATCGACAAGCACAACCTGATGATCGCTACGATCTGTTCATCCATCTCCACCCATTCCTTATCTATCATCCCAATAGCCGATCGTTCTTTCAGGGTTTTCTGTATCTTCTTGTATGTAAGAAGATCTGTCACTTGCATCTTCCAAAACCTGAAATTCTCCCTATCAAACCTCAAAACTCCCTTGAAATAGTAATATGACTTTCCACTGGATCCCATGAAGCTAACCTGACGGCTCTGATACTACTTGTTGAGAAAATTACTTACCAAAAATATTTTTCCCTTCTACAGTTCTTCAGTGAAAATTAAGTCAATCACACAATAAGAGAAATATAGGGAAAACACAGTAAACGACACAAGACATTTATACTGATTCACCACAACTGTGGCTACGTCCAGTCTTCTGCGACAACGAGTTCTAGTATGATTTTGGGATAATACAATGGGCAAATACAATAATCTCTCAAATCTAGAGGTCTCGACAAAAGCCACCTAACTTCTACGACTACAACAACAGAAATCCTAAGAAACTGAAATAAAAAACCTCACCAAATACCCGCGAGAATAGGTTGTTGACGATGTTCTACAATTCTGGATCTCGCCTCTGAAACTCTACTAAATACCACTGTCGTTGCCCTCTGAAAATTCGTGCACGTACACGTTCACGTTCAATGGCCACTTTGATTTGCAACAACACATAAACAAAATGACTCTATTTATAGGAGGTCAAATATCCTAATCCTTATAGGAAAAACAATATTATAATCATTTTCTTCATACGACATGGGTTTCTTGTTTTGGCTCAATTATCCCAACACCAAGCACCTCAAATATCTCCACAATATATTATTTACTTTGAGCATGAGAAGATACTTGAGATACCGTGATAAAGATGTTGTCCCTTACTTATATACCTATAAACTTTTTTATTTTTTTTATTTTGGAAGAGACATTAGATCTTTTATTCAAAAAGTAGGTGAGGAACATAAAAATGATGCCCATAAAAAAGTAGGCTAAGTAAAAGGAATCCAACTTAGAGAGGTGATAAATATATCATAATTAGAAGGAAAGAACCGTTGATTTAGCCGACCAAGAAGAGGCAGCTAATATAATATCGTCCCAAAGATGAGTTATTGATCTAGAGACTTTCAAAAGGAAATGTACGATTGTTTCTTTCTAGTCATATATTCGAAATAACATAACCAAATGCATTAGACCAGAGCACAAAGACATCCACAGATTCTCATATAAAGTCTTGAATTCGAGTAGGGAGCACGAGAGAGGTGTTGAAAGCTTCTAAAAGACAATAAAAAGTTCACATGGGAGATGGCTGGCCCATGTGAACCCACAGGATTAGGCTTCCACCTACTCTATCTAACCGCGTCCTCGATATAGTGGGAAAGTCTTTCTAAACAAAGAACGAACGAATAGGGAGATAAAGGACAACCCTACCGAACACCCCTCCTCATACTAAAGACGGAAGTGGGTTCCCCATTCCAAAGGATTACATCTTCGCCGAACTTACACAATCCATTATAACCTTTATCAAACTCCTAGGGAGACCTACCAACTCTAGAATTTCTTCCAAAAAGTCCCAGGCAATTCTATCATACGCCTTCTCTAGGTCTACTTTAACTAAGATGAATTTCCTAGATTTATTTAATTTTTCCATTGTATGAATTAGCTCTTGTGCAATAATGATATTATCTTGTATATGCCTCCCTGGAATGAAGCTAGCTTGATTGGGAGAAACTATCATCCCTAGATAGTCTCGCAGTCTAAGGGCAATCATCTTAGTGACGAGCTTATAGGAAACGTTACATAAACTAATTGGTCTAAATTGAGTTATAGATTCAGGGAGCTCAACTTTAGGAATAAGAACTATGAAAGTGTTATTCGCCTTTTCTATTGAATTTCCTTTCTCCAAAATATCTTTCACAAATGCAACCACCGAGGAGGCAATAGTAGACCAATTTTGTTGGTAAGAAACAGCCTGAAATTCGTCTGGACCAGAATGGCAAACATTGCTGAATGAACCTCTTCTAAAGAAACGTGTTTAATCAGATTCCTCATAGCTTCTGCTGGAAGGATAGGGAAGGTCGTATCCGTAATTAATTTAACCCTCGTATCTAAGATTTCATACAGATTCTAGAAATGCTCAACTGCCAGCACCTTAAAGGTTGAATCCTCCGAAACCCAATTGCCATTGACATATTTTAAAGTCTCTATGTGAATCATTTTACAGGATATTATAGCCCTAGTATGGAAAAGTTTTGTATTGCGATCCCCAAACCACACCCATTCACATCTAGATCTTTGAAACCAGGTGATTTCCTCTTGTAGGAGAATATTATCAAGCTCTCTATTTAACTCAACTTCTAAAGTTAACAGGAATAAATTGCGACTATGGGGAATTCTTCGTTGGATACCTGCTAGTCGGGCCAGAATTACCTTTTTCCTTTTAGAAATGCTTTGGAATATTTCCTTATTCCAATGCGAAAATTTCCCTTGGGCAGTTGCTAACCCTGTTGTTAGAGGTTCAGATTTGGGCCAAATCTCTTCGAGGAATGAGGGAAACATCTTATGGGTTAGCCATGCTGCCATAAACCGAAAAGGTTTTTGAGAATGACTACTGGCACAAAATCCAGCCGTGTCTAACAGAATAGGGCGATGGTCAGATTTAACTCGAGGTAGAACTCTAATGGATGTCTCAGGGAAAGCTAATTGTCATTCCGTATTTGTGAAACCTCTATCCAACTTCTCAAAAATTCTAGAGCACCCTTGTAACAGCGGCCCTCTCCAAGTAAACTTAGGTCCTGTACTGCCAAGGTCCAATAGCTGGCAATTATTCATCATATTGATAAACAGGGTCGCTAAACTCGGATTAAAAGAGGCAACACCCAACTTTTCCTTGCTCACCAAAATCTCATTAAAGTCACCTAATAGTAGCCAAGGCTCAGCAATTTCAGACGCGATTGACTCGAGAAAAATCCATAATTCCCTTCTTGTGGCCCTCTGCGGGCTCCCATATATAGTAGTAAACACACCCGAGAAACTACCTTTAGTGATCCTAAAGTGAAAGACTTGATTGTGTCTATTTGACTCAACAAGTGAAACACGATTAGGTTTCCACAGCACCCAAATGCCACCCTTAAATCTCGAAGCTTCAATGCGAGTATAAGAAAATCTTAAAAAACTACCACAAACTCTATCGGCCACAATACCACTAACTTTGGTTTCTAAGATTACTAGCACATCCGGATTATAAGCTTGGATCATATCCCTAAGAACATATTTAAAACGGGGGCTGCCAGCCCCCTACGATTCCAGGACATAAAAATCATTAAAACTATGATAGTTTAGAGTTACTTCCTTATGGGGAGATGTCCCCTGCTGTAGAAATTTCCCTTCCTTGTTTTCTTGAAGCAAACTCCATTCCCTGAGCTGCGTTTTCGTCTCTCTTATTCCTAACAACATTGTCATCTCCTAAATTCATTATCTGGTCCTTATGAGAAATACTCTTCCTATACAAAGTCTCACTTGTTGAGGCCCAGCCGAATCAAAATATCCATTGCGAGGAATTGGTGATTTTGGATCAGTATCATCTTCCTGTTCTGAGTCCATGTCCCCAGGGTCATAATCTTGATCCATCCAACGAGGTTTTCGTCTTCCATCCGTATCTTGAATTACAAGGGTCCCCTGATAATCGAAAGGAAGACTTGAAAAATTTGCCCCAGGTCCAGCAAAAGGAATCTTGTTCTTAAACCTCCAAGAGTCTTGATCTCTTGCTAACCTCACCCTCTCAACTGACTTAATTTGGAAAGACTTTATAGGATCACGCTTCATAGTTGGATCAACAATTGTGTCAAGAACATTCATGGGCTCTTCATTTGGGTCCGAATTTAAATTCCACTTAGTGTTCAAGTTTTTAGATGATATGAAACCTCTTCCTGACCTTGTACGAGGTGGTTTACCTCCCCCATTTCTCTTGGAATGATCTACCAACATCCAAGGCCCATGACCAGGTGAAGGATTTAGCTGAGAAACTGTCACTGGTATGAAAGGCTTTTGAGGAAACTCAGGGATATTGCTTTCCTTTGGAACCCTCGAATCTGCACCAACGGAATCAAGAATTCCAGATGAGTTATCGTTAACCTTCGTTTCAGTGTTGCATCTCAAGGGACACTCCTCCAATTTGTGCCCATACACCCCACAGTTGAAACAGACTAAATGTATTCCCTTCATATTGGATTCCATACCTTTCTCGTAAAATTGTAAAGTCAGGTCGAAGCTTCTTCGTAAGGTCCACCTCAACGTAGATTCTCGCAAAGTGGCCCATCTTCCCGGATTGGGTCTTGAAATCAATTTTTAGAGTCTTGCCTATGAAATGCCTGATTCCCTTCATTCCTGTCTCATTATAAAGTTCCATCAGACAATCAGGGATACGAACTCACAAAGCAACCCTATCAATAGTCAGTGACACTGTTGAAGGCCTAAATTTGGGAGACCAACTCTGAACCGCAAGGTAGTGGTCTAAAATCTTCCAGGGGCCCTCCATAAGAACCCTGTCTCGATCCTCCTTCAAGTCCGACGCGCAGTAAAGAACTCATTACTAAGGTTGATCAACTTGAAATCCCCTTTCGGTTTCCAGATTGCGGTTAACCTTCGGAGAAGAAATTGATACCCAAAAGACTTGCCTAGAACTTTTATAATTAAGGCAGACCTCCACGGTGCCCTAAAATTCTTCCATTGTACTTTCGAAAATTTCACATCATCCGAGGGATACGAATCTACCTCTTCATTACTGGAAGCATCTTCCAGGGGAGTTTCAGCCCCCATCTCAAAGTCTTCATCCGTATCTCCCAAAACCATTTCACGGTACTTCCAAAGCAATCTTTCAGAGGAACTCGTTGATTGTCATCACCAACCCGAGGCCTTATCCGAGCCCTTTTGGCTTTCTTGATACTACGATTTAGCTGATCTTGTTCTTCCACAGTGACAGGGTCTCTTCCATCACAAAAACCCAACTTTTAGGACTTCTGTTTATATACATACATACATTTTAATATGGGGACATTTTCATAAAATGGATAAAAAGATGGTTTAAAAAGCAAATAAAATAACATAAAACCCTCGAAGGTGGGTCCCACAGTTTTGATGTCTACAAAAATGGGTCCACATCTATGAAAAAAATGAAAAAATCTACCTGCTATATCTAAAGAAACCCCTGTTTGGGTCTTTGGCTGCGTGTGTGTAGAAGCAATGGCGGAGTACGGCGGAGGCATTTCACTGTCCCAACAACCACCGAGCTCCGACGAGTCCTCCGACGAGCACAGCCCCCTGAGGACGGCGGAGAGATCGAAAAAGGTGGCGGCGGCGGAGACGGGGACGGGGACGGGGAAGAAGCCGCGGGGGAGGCCGCCGGGGTCGAAGAACAAGCCAAAGCCGCCGATAGTGATAACGAAGGAGGAGGGGGGAATGAAGCCGGTGGTCATCGAGATCTCCGCCGGAAACGACGTCGTCGAGACCCTCCTTCACTTCGCACGCAAACGACACGTCGGCCTCAGCGTCCTCAGCGGCTCGGGCTCCGTCTCCAACGTCACCCTGCGTCACCCCATGTCGCACTCCCTCTCCCTTCACGGACCCTTCAGCCTCGTCTCTCTCTCCGGCTCTTTCCTCCACAATACGACGTCGTCCCCATCCCCCTCCCCATCTCCCTCCTTCGGTATCTGCCTCGCCGGAGCCCAAGGTCAGGTCTGTTCAAATACCCAAAAACCCCCAAAAAAAAAAAAAAAACCTCTCCTTTTATTTATTTTCCTTTTTTTTTCGTAGATAGAAATATCTATCAAATATCTTTAAAATATTATAATTATCATATTTTGAAAAAAGTTGTAAATTTTAAAAATCCGTAGAAAATTATTTAAAGAATATTTCTTTTAAAGTTGAAATTAACGATAGTGAATACAAGATTTTTTTATTTTATTTTGTTAATCTTTTATAATGTTGACATCTCAATCGAAAATTTAATATCTTATTTGGGACACATGTGTCCTAATGTCTGAGTTAATAGATTACGTCATTTTAATGTCTTTCATTCATGCTCTTAACAAGGTGTTTGGAGGCATCATTGGAGGGAAGGTGACAGCGGCGAGTCTCGTCGTGGTTGTTGCAGCGACGTTTATAAACCCAGTGTTCCACAGGCTGCCGAGCGACACGGCGGACGAGATGGTCGAGACAGGAAAGCCAGGCACCGACGAGTCGGCCACCGCTGCGACGCCGATGTCGGTGTGCGTCTACAATGCAGCATCTCCGGATCAGGCAATGCCATGGGGGCCAAACTCTCGATCTTCTTACTGAACAAAAACATACACCCCATATTGTCTTTTCAACATTATTGGTTTGGTTTTGGTGATACTGATTATTATCAAGTAAAAATGAGAGAAATTATGATGATGGTCTTTTTAGGGAGGGCTTAATTGGGAATTTTTGTTCATTTTAATTGGTATGTCAATTAATGAGTTGGTTTAATTTGGTGTTTCTTTGATTGTTTTTAATTACTTGTTTCTGAATGGTAGGAAAAAAAAATGGAGATTTTGTTGTAGGGGTTTAGAGTTCAATCTAGTGGTTATTAACTTGTGAACATATGACATTCTTTTTGTTTCACTTTTTAGTTGTGTCCTAAACCTAACCCATTTTATACTTTTTTTCTTTTTGTGTATACTTTTCCCTTTAAAAAAAAATACAAAAATTGCACTTTGAATTATGGGTTCTTGTCACACTTAAAAAAAAAAAAGACATTCATTTTCGTCGTTGAAGTAGTATTTTCGTCGTTCAACACGTTCAACAATGAAAAGAAAAATGTCGCATGCTTTGTTGTTGAATAAGTGTCACTACTGGGTGTTGCTCAATGAAAGGGAGCGCGTTGCAAAGTTTGGCGACCAAAATGGTTTTCGTTACTGTGGTGATGTAAATATTTATGTCGCTGCAGCGACGAAATTGTGTTGTTCCTTTTCACAAAAAGGAGGGGCGTGCCCTTCTTTTTGTTGAGCACCCAAAATGGGGCGACGAAAACCTTGTTCGTCGCTCGAATTTTCTTTTTGTTGCTTTTGGAGTGACGAAATTTTCCTTTCGTCGCCTATTTTGCGACGAAAATTAGTTTTGTCTCTAATTTTCGTCGCTAAACAGCAATATTCCTATAGTGTCATACGGTTTCCAAATTTACAATTTGAGTAATTATGGACACGTTTGACGACGTTCTTGTATTTTGTTTATCATTTTCAAAACTTTTAAGAAATCTAACTATTATTTTGTATCTAATTATATTTTTTGTTTCTCTTTTTTCGAGACATTCTAAAAATTGTATAGAAATTGTGGAAACAACAAAATTAAATTTCCTTCCTTGTTTCCATTTCTAATTTGTTCCAAAGTATAAATATAAAAATTATTTTATCATACTTGAATTTATGGGTCTTGAGGCTAGTCAATTCATTTTTTTCATATTAAAAATGAAGAAACATAAATAAGAAACAAAAATGTTACCAAATAGGTCTATATAATTTCGTTGTTGCCAGTAAATTTTACTTATATCTTCTGATTGCAATTTTATTTATAACATAAAGGTTATGAGTGCAATTAGAAGATTTAAATGCAATGATTTTCTTCAATTTAGGGGGGTTGCTTGTTCAAGTTAAAGATTTGAGTGTGCAAATTAGAACAATTCTATAAGTTAGGGTGATTTTTGCATTTTTATTTTACCTTTTCTTCATCAATTTTTTAACACTCGCTTATAATTTGAAAAATAGAAAAATGCAAAAATAATAATAATAATAATAATAATAAACTTTCATTTTTTTGTACTCTAAACTTAAGGTAATTGTCTTAAAGTGATTAATTATGTACTTATTTTAAGCATAGTTTAAAGTGATTAAGCATAGGTACGTAATACCTAGCAAGCATAAAAGTTCTTGTGTGACCAAACTCTTCTCTAATTTAGTATTACTCAAATGGCAATAGTTATTTCCAATTTGGTTATTCCATAATTGCTACTTAAATTTCCTTCATTTATAATTTTCAAATTATTCTCTGATTTCTAATTATTTTCCCTTGTTTAGATATACATTTGACATTTAAAAAAGAAAATTATATACCATCTTCATTAGAAAAGTTATGAAAGAGCTCTTTCTAAGTTCATGTTAATACTCAATCCATCTAATAAAAGAAAGAAAAAACAAGCTCCGCATAAAAAAAAGAATATTCTTACTTAGTTTCAAATTAAAAAAAGTTAATTAGATTGATTTGTTTATTAAATATATGGTAAACAAACTAATAAAAAAAGGGCGATTGTAACGTGTTAAATGATGAATAAACCACCACTCAACCCAAAAATTTAAGTTGATGGATTGAATAAATTCAATTCATTTATGATTATCTAACACTCCCCTCATTTGTGGGCACTCAACCCAAAAGCGCTCTCATACCATCTTAAAGATAAATAAACCACCACTCAACCCAAAAGCTTGAGCGGATAGGTTTGGTAAATTTAATTCATTTATGGATATCTAACACAACGAGTTGGTTTTGAGATAAAACCCCACCAATATTAATATAGTATCAGAGCCCAATAAGCTTAAACGAGCATGCGGTCCAAAAATGGAATCCGACCAAGATTGATGAGCCAAAAAAGCCACAATCTTGAAGGGGCATGTTAAGGATCCTACATTGAAAACAAAAATCTAACAATATAAACATGAGCTACTTCTCCCATTGTGAATTGGTTTTGAGATGAAATCTCATAAATACTAGTATGACGCAACCCACTACAAGAATATTTGTAACGATATATTTCCCGACCGAAAA